GGGAAGTGCGGCCTGGACGGGGCAGTGGCCGGGAGCCCCGGCCTCACCCGGGCTCAGACCTCTGCTCTGCGTCGTCTGTGCCCGCGGGTGGGGCTCACGGCCATCCTGGCTTTCCTCGTGGTGCTCCGGCCCTGTCCGTCCTCCCTGGCTGGCCGCCTCCACTCCCGCCGAGGTTGCCCGAGAGCCATGCTAACCCCACACGGCCTCCTCCCTCCCACCTGCCTTTCTTTCCAGCTCTGTCTCTCCACGTCCTTCTATCTCTGTGGTTATCTCATCGGGCTGGAAACTTTACCCTGGGAGATGAGCTGCTGCCGGGAGTTCGTCCTGGATAGCGTCTCTCCCTCGGCTTCCGGTTCCTCGGCCCTCATAGTCCCTCTCTGTCCCCTTGTAGTGTGGCTCTGTCCCCTGAAGTCTCTCTGTCCCCTGTACTCTCTCTCTCTCTGTCCCGTGTCTCTCGCTCTCTGTCCCCCTGTAATTTCTCTCTGTCCCCTACAGTCTCTCTGCCCCCTGTGTCTCTCTCTGTCTCGAGACCGTAGTCTCTCTCTCTCTGTCCCCTGTGTCTCGCTCTCTCTCCTCTATAGTCTCTGTCACTCTGTCACCTGTAGTCTTGTTCTCTGTCCCCTGTGCGCTCTCTCTCCAGACCCTCCGCCCAGTTTTATTCTGAACACGGCAGCACACGCCTGTTACCTGACCACTTCACTGTGCCCTTTCTTGACTGTGCACCCCTCTGGACTGGCACCACGATCCTCCCTGAACCCTCAGAGTCGAGGCAGGTGCCTGCGTGCTGGCCACGGCCCGACCTGGCTCATCCACACATCGATGACGGTGCGAGGGACGGTCTCCCCCCGGTGGGGTGAAATCACCCCTCAGAGCCTTGCTGGGGCCTGTCGCCGACAAAGCTTGCTGGCCAACGCTCAGCAACGCATCCGTCGAAGCGATTTCACTTCCAGGGATTTGCCTTCCAGAAGCACGCCCCGGTGTGCTCAGAGCTTGGTTCAGATGCTGGGCACCCATCGCCATAGCTAAAGGTGGAGAAAACCCAGCATGTGACTGGTAGGCGACTGGCCCAGTAACCGAAGGAACAGGGGAGCAGCAGATGGCGCAGTGGGTGTCGCTGGACTCCCACGTAGTGGACCGCGGTTCGAGTCCCAGACCTGGTGGCTTAATGTGTGCTGTGAATGTGTGCACGTGTGCCCAAGATCCCAAGACGGGAATGGGAGAGAAGGGACTGTGGCGGGCCATCTCCCTGGGGAGCGATTTCTCTCTTTCTGTCTCTCTGTCTCTCGGTGAGCGCATGTGCCCCATTGCAAAACCCTCTCTCTCAAATAAACACATAACTGAAGGAATATACACAGCCGTAACAGAACTGGTTGTACCACCTGCTGGCGTGAACCCTGGCCTGGACCGCACTGACTTGCCCAGCTGAGAAATAACCTCTCCACACCCTCCTCTCACTGCTCCTGCCCAGTGTTCACTCAGGCAGACGAGGGCCCAGGTTCAGGGAGGTCGAGCAGCTCACTGAGGCCCCCCGGGCGGGAAGTGCTGGCTCACTGCTCTGCCTCGGCCTGCAGTAGGACATCGGGGCCAGCCCTGGCCTGGGGGTGAGGAGCCAGGGCCCACACGGCTGACTGCAGGGCGAGCACGGGACCTGG